CAACTGTGAGATAAAGAAGTCTTTCCTTCCTTCATTGTGAGTGTTGGGTATTTGACCCAGCAATAAGAGAAAAGTAACTGAGACAGGGTGCAAATGTGCAAAACAAGGAGAAAGATATGTGATATACAAGTACAAATTCTCCCCCCCCCTTTTTTTTTTTTGTATTTTTTTTTACGGAACCAGGGATTGAACTCAGGCCCTTGTGTTTGCTGGACAAGCACTTGTTCTACTGAGCCATCTCCCCGGCCCCTTTTTTGTATTTTAGGGAAAGTTCTACAGGGTGTTCAGGGTCTCACTACTAGATTGGACTCATGGTGATCTGCCTGTTTACAGTCTCCCAAGAGCTGGGATTGTAGGTGCACACCACCATGCACAGTCTCAATCGTCCCGAGGTGGGGCCAGTACAAATGCCCTTTGAAATGATCATTATCTAAAATGTAACAATAAACTTAATTTTTAAAAAAATAACATGTTTAGAATAACTCATCCTTTTAAAAACATACTTATAGCACAGCCAAAATTAGAAAATATTAGAATTAAACAATAATTAAACTATAAAATATAAAAAATTTGAAGAGGGAATTGATGCAGTCAATAGAGAGAAAATTATCTTTAAATTCCTGCATTAAAAACAGAGTAATTGCTGAAGAGACTGGTGTTATGGTTTGTATGTAGTTGTCCCTCAACGCCTCATGTAAATCACGGGGTGGGTAGCCACTTGAGGCATAGTGTGAGGCTGGCGAGGGAGGTCGGAGGACCAGGGCGGGACCTGAGGGGAGGGGCTAGAGAGGTGTGAACCATTCAACTGACAGCATGCAGCAGCTCCATAGCGCCCCCAGGCCTGGTGGGCTCTCTTGGAGAGATGTGGAGAGCATCATCCGGGACTCGGCAGCACCCCAGGCTCTCCTCCAGTATCTTGAAACCTCCAGTAGCTGTGAGCTAAATAAACCTTTCCTTCTCTCATTTTGAGTGTTGGGTATCTGTCCCAGCAATGAGAGAAGAGTAACTAATACAACTGGTATCTTTTCATTTTAAGAAATAAGAAAAAGAAAAGCCAAAAGACAGAAAGAAGAAATTAATGATGACAAGGAAAGGCAACATAAAAACAATAGAAGTAGAGAGAGTTAAATAAATCAAAGCTCATCCTTGTATGTGTGAAAGATCAAGACAGTTAAAGACATCAATTAAGGACAAAAACAATACAATTTATAACATCAGGAATGAAAGATGTTTTATTGCCACTGATCCTACAGATAATAAAAGTTTAATGAGAGGGTATTTTTATAAATATTTGGCTGGTGTTGATCATCAATAAGAATAGATAAGTTCTTTGAAAAACAAATTTATCAAACCTGACAGAAAAAGAAAGATAAAACCTTACTATCCTTTTATGGTAAATACATTTAATTTGTAATTCAAAATCTTTTTGCAAAACATCTTACAAAAACAAAACAACAAACCAAACAAAAGTCAATAACAAAAATGAATGAATTGTATAAAACCATTAATGAAAAATTTTATCAATTTTATTATGTTATTAATAAGTAAAAGAGGAAGAGATATGTTCTATCTTGATTCCAAAAGTTGCCAAAGACTTTAAGAAAATTAACAACATGATCTTCATAAACAAAATGCAATAATTTGTAAAAAAAATGGCAAATTAAATCTTGCAACACATTAAAAGTTATCTAGGTATCAGACAAACAGCACTGGTTTAATATTAGTCATATACCTCACCATGTAAATGGAACATAAAAGAAAGGACTCTTTTTAAAAAAATTATTTGTTACAGGGCCTCACTAGACAGCTCAGACTCTAGTGATGTGCTGTTTTCAGCCTCCCCAGTGCTGGGATTACATGCATGTGCCACCATGCCTGGTTTCAGTGGCCTGTTCAGCATGCCCAGGGGTGGGGCTGGCATAGCATGTAGTGTGGGGATCAAACCCCGGTCCCTGTGCTTGTCTAAGTAGGTGGTTATCTGCTGAGCTATCTCACTGACCCCAAAGGGCATGTTATTATTTCAATATTTACAGTAGAAGCACTAGACAAATCTTGACATATGTTAATTGTTAAAAGCCCAAGCAATGTAGGAATTAAAGGTAATGTGTCCACACTACGACTCCACAGCTGCCATTATACTTAAAGGAAACTTTTCCTCTAGATTTTGAGAACTTTTCCTCTAGATTTTAAACAAGATAGATGTCAATATCCACTCTGACTACTAGATGAAGAACACACGTCAACCTCTACTTCATAGAAAACAGAAACTTTTTAAGCAAGATTATATTTTTAGTACAAATGGAAAATAAAAGACATCTTACTGTCTAGATTTAATTTTGACAAAGCAATGTGTTTCTTTGAGATGCATGCATTAAATATGAATAGGTTTTCATACACTGTAAAACTTCAACACAATGATTAATTTTGGTAACCAACAAATGATTACATCAAGAAGTCATTGAAATAATGATTCAGTTGTGATAATAAGGAATATAGTATGCTGAAAAAAATAAATTTTTAGTATCAAAAATGTAGTTTTTAAGGCAATTTCTGAAAAATAAGAATAGAATATGCTTAGTAACTGAAGGATTTTTCTTTTAAAATATGAGTAGATAAGTAATTTAAAATTAAAGTTCAGAGAGCGGACAAGATAGCTCAGCGGGGTAAGCACACGCTTACGCAAGCACAGAGCCTGGGCTTCTATCTCTGGCACCACATGCCACACTGGCCCTGCCCCCAGGCACACTGAGCCAGCCACTAAGACCTGGCATGGTGGCACACTGAGCCTGTAATCCTAGCACTGGGGAAGTTGAAAACAGGAGGCTCACCATGAGTTGGAGCTGCATCATGAGACCCTGTACCAAATACATAATACATAAATAAATAGGAAAGCCCAAAATTGATGCCAAATTAAAACATTATGTTAAACAGCTACAAAATGAGCAAACTTTTTCAACAATATGCTGTTAAAAGTAGAAAATAGAGTGAAAAATAGAAGATAGTGTGTCCCCACATATCTGACCCTCCAGTAAGCATCTGAGTGTGATATGTATGCATAATCTTTTTTTTTATTTATTTATTTATTAGAGAGAGAGAGAGAGAGAGAGAGAGAGAGAGGCCAG